TGCATTGTGGATTTGCAGGCTCTCTTCCTTATTTTTGTTGCACTTCAAACCTTCTGGGAAGACCATTTTTGTGGTCAACAACAACTTCCTCGCACTGCGAAAGCTGCGCTTCGGCTACGCACCCCGGGACAGGGCATTTCCTATTGAACGGCACGGTGCGGCAATGCGTTGCCAGCTCACAACTCACACTCGCTGACACCACACCGTGACGACACATGTCCAAACCACGTGCAAGCAACAGCTGAAAACCGTAGTAACCAAGAGCAGGAATTGGAAATTCTGATCAATTGAAGCTATCTTCGGCAGAATCCAGGCTTCAAATTCAAATCCCTGAAATGAAACGAATCTCCTAGAGTCATGGGCCCTACACACACCCTCCGCAATGACATCCCAACAGCTGGGGGATGATAATCTGTATTTAAGCTAAACAAAGCGAATTCGGCTTGACTTGTTGGGGGACTTTGATGGTCTCTTGCTTGTTGTTGATCCCTCTGCAAAAAGTTTAACTTCCAACGAAAATCCATTGTTTCCCAAAAAGTGAAAGTCCAAAGGTCCAGCAACATAGCCATAAAGGTCTTCGCAGCCCCGGTATTACGATGTTATCACAGGGGGCACCCTACCTGGCAGATTACAGTGAAGCATCCCCCCCAGTTTCTGACTTTGCGATCTCGAACACATGAAATGTGCAAACTCTTGGGCCAATACCAAAACGAATTTGGCGCGCCAAGCAAAACATCTCGCACAAAGGAGAAATTGCTCGGTTCCAATCGAAAGCTTATTTGACCCGCAAAATCAGAAAGTCAAAAGCAATGATGTGCTGGTGATTGGAAGCCCTTCATTTTGCCCGTTTGCTCCTTGGGTAAACTTAAGCGCACATCCAAGTCGCTGCTTGATTGCTTGCCCCTTAAATGGGGGATTTGGTGCGGGTTCGGAAGCATCCTTTTGCACCTTTGCCCCAAAGGACCTGAAGAAACCTTGGCCCAACATATATTCAAACTGGGGAAATTGCTACGCGCATCCAACTTGGCCATAAGGGATGGAGACAAAAAGCACGACCGACCGACCGATCGACTGACCGACCAAACAATCAAAGAAACCAGGAAAACCACGTCAGAAAAAAGGGTACCCTTTTTCCGTAGTCTTTTTTAGTAGGAACCCCAAAAAAAAGGGTACAAGGGCACTACCGGGGGACCTAGATTCGCTTTAGGCAAGAATTTGCCAGGCGGCCACTTCCGCAACTCTCGGTGGTCCGCTGCCGGCGAGCCGCAGCGCGCGCAAGCCGCGGGAGCTGCTGGAAGCGTCGTGTCTTTGGGTGCACGGCCGAAGTGCGCGGGCCTGGCACACGGGGGGGTGGGGTTGGGGTGGTGGGGTGGTGGGGCGGTGGGGTTTGGGGAGGGGTGGGATTCTTAAAGTAGACTTTGGCAGGTCCGTAGCCCTCGCAATATGGTGGGGCCCGAATCGAGTTTTCGACCAGATGGTTGGTGTCTTATTTGAAGTCTCCTGGAGATACCAAGCAAAAGGAGGCTCCGGAATCCATGTTCAGAAGCTACAAGGCTCTTGGCTAAGCCTGGGACTTGAATCGTATCATTTTAATCCGGTCATAATACACCCCCCCACTCCCCCCACCCCAAGTAGAAAAAGGATCCTAGTTAAACATGATCCTGGTACCATGGGTCCCGAGTTCCAGGTGTGGGGTTTTGTGTTTGAGGATCTTTGGTCCCCCAAAAGGGGGACTGGAAGAGCGGGCAGTAGAAATCGCGAGAGTGTTGGCTTCAAATTGGGCTATTCTAATTTAGTATTGGGCAACCCGCGGGGTTTTGGAGACACATCTATACTATCCGTGTAATTAGTGTGGCACAAATGCAGGGTGTCACCCTTAGTTGCCCAGTTTGGGCCCAGAAATGCATGGTTAACCTTTTGGGGTGATCAAAAAAGGTTGCCAGATCAGGGAAACCATTATTAACAGGCTAGAAGGTCGATTCGCTTTGGGCAAGCGAGCGCCAAACAGTGACCTTTCAAGTTCTGCGCTGCTAACCCTCCCACAAAAAACGATGTGTTTGAGACCAAAACAATTATGTCGGCTCCGACTTTGCGGGAGCCACTGCGTTTATGGCGCACCGTTTTGTTGAAGGCCAGCTGTCGTTGGGACCAAGGCTTCTAAATAACTGCTGAAACTGCGGTTTTTGCCGCGAAATCTGTTATAATTTCTACCCTCTATGCTGTAGAGATGAGAATTGGGGGTTGATCAAAAGGCTCTTTACATGGGATGGCATTGAGGAAAACCAATGCCCCACTAAATGGGAAAAGCTACCACGCAAGGAACTGGGAAGCACGGACGAAAAGGAAGCTGTCCACCTGCTTCGCCCAGCTGCTTTCCACCATCTTTCACATAGCGTCGCTTGGAAAATCATCGATTGAAAGCAACATATATAAACAATGAAAGACATAAATACATAGGCAAACAAATAATCAATAAATCAAAGCAAATAAATACAAAACTAAGTAGATCAATAAGTAAACATGCATCAATATAACAAATACAAACCACATTGAATACATATAAAAATAAATAAATCAATGAACAAATCAATCAATAAATCAATGAATGAACAAATAAATAAATGAACGAATCAATAAATAAATGAATAGCTAAGCAAATAAGTAAATCACACACACACACATGCATAAACAAACAAGAACACAGAAACAGCTCGTAAAATACAATAAAGACATAGAGAGCGCAAGAAAGAACCACCACCCCCTGCAAAGCAATTTGTTCCGGGAGGATTTCTCACCGCCTTGGCGTCGGTGGCTGATAGCACTCGCAGTCAGGACCGGCGCCGCGCAGGGTGCCAGCGCTATCGAAGTGCAGGCTCGAAGCGCTGGACGAAGGGCCTGCGCTTCTGCGGGGCTCTGTTCGACCCAGAAATGGGTTGGTTTAACTCACTGGCTGAGTGGATGGCCCCAAAAAGGTTAAATTTGGTATTTACCACTAAAATGATCTTCCCAAAAGTAAAAAGTTTATGAACTCAAGAAGTGAGTTAAAGGATAGAAAGGGCACCACCAATGTTGGTTCCTTGGGACAAACCGAAATTTCAGGTGGCCCGAATGTATCCTAGAAAGCCTACAGACCTACCATAAGGGCGCAACGACTGGCGGTTTCCCAGCAAGGGCAGGAATTCCGTTTCCTATACTGTAGATAGCCAAGGGACCCTTTACTTGCTTCAGAGAGGGCGCGCCGAAAGTTCGCGCTGTTTGCCAGAAGAGCGCTTCGCACAAATACACTTCGTAGATAGACCCCCCCTACATTGAACCAGAATTGACCAGCAACGTCCAAATGGCAAATCTGTGCAGACGGAAAGATGCGTCCTTTTTGGTTTCCCTTGGTACCTACAAAAAGGTACACCCAAGTCGAAACAAACAGCGGATCGCATGCGTCCGGGCGTCCAGTGCGTTCAAATGTGAGGCAAAACAGTCTAGGAGTCCAGCCCAGAACCCACTGCCTTTTTTCAAACATCTGCATGCACCAGTGGACCCCTTCTGAACCACCACCATTTTTGTCACCTGGGAGACCGGACCGTCAGGCCCCGGCTTTTTTCAAACCACTCGCCCAATGCGCTACCCCACCCCAGACAAAAACATCCCCTTCGAGGCCAGCTTCGGGAATTCCACTGAGAAAGGAGACTGGCGGGTTAGGCTCCACTGGTGCAAGATTTACGGGCCAAACTGAGTCAGGACTAACTAGAGGAGCAGACTATGAGCCCCTGAATGCCCCATTGCATGAAGTCTCCATGGCCTTGAAACACCGGGTCATCAAACACATATGAACACACTACCCCGTCTCCTTCGCCTAACATTGTTCCATCCTTCCTCCGAACGAATAACCTGCTAGGACTACGAATAACCCCATAAAAGAGGGGATTCCCTTGTACCCTCAGACTGACAGCCGGATTCTCCCAGGCCTCTGTAAATGGAACCAAGTCCATACAGGTCCCTGGAATCGCCTGGGGGAGGGTACCGCATGGGGAAAAAAACCCTCGATCCCAAGCCGCTCGGATTTTTTTGTTTTATCCCAAGCCGCTGGTTGCCATCGGAGAAGCCCATCCCTTTCTTCGGCTGGTCGCTCCTGCAGTGTGGCTTCGAAGGTTCCGACCCCGCGTCCATATGAAGGCGTGACCCCAGATTAACCAACCCCAGTCTAAAGGGGCTTTTCTGGGCGGCCCTGGGCTTAGTGGCTTTTGGAGGGGAACACCTCCCTATGTGTAGACTGGGTTGATTTATATGGGGGTCAATATTGAATGCAACCATTTTAAGACCTCTTTCTTGACCCTCTTCAAGCCAACGGAAACTCGAGTGAGGCGTCCAATTTGCAACGTACAGCAGACGTCGACAAGATGCGCGCCCAAACTAACCGTGCAATGGATGCTTCTCCTACCTTCTCGCTTGGCCTCGCGTATCTCAAGGAGTTCTGACGGTTCTCAGTCCACAAGCCATTTTTGGGGTTGTATGTCAACATTGAGCTGCTTCTACCTCGTGGCAGAGTCACTGGATTTCCCCTGCAGGGGTTACTCAGTTTACAGGTGGTGTCCATTGCACCTGTCACTTCTTGGTTGCAAAACAGGGAATAGACGAACGTCGCGAGGTGATGTTGAGACTCGAAAGGCAATCCGGTCGCCAGACTGGGGGCCACCCGTACGGATCAGTGCCCCTTGCCAACCTCAGCGTGTGCCATGCGTGCGATGATCCGTGTATTTAGCAATCAAGCATGTGAGACAGCCTCTTACAGTCAGAGTGGTTTTCGGAAGGCTTAAGAGATGATGATGCTCGTCTTCCGGCACACCCCCTTGTTCACTGTTCATGCCACCAAAGAGATCACAGCCCATCCCGTGCAGCCGTGCGCGTCCTTGCTATCTGTCCATGGCGCAACTGGAGCCAAACGCCAAGGGGCGTTGAAAAGACACAAAGGACGCCCTGAAAGGACCCGCGCGAAAAGGCGCATTTGCGGCGATTTTGGATTGGTGGCAGATGGTGAGTGGCGCCTGCGGCTTTTCATGTCGCCTTCACCTTCAGGACTTCAATCCTATGATCAGGTGCTGCTCAGTTGACGGGCGGTCGGGGTCGGGGAACTGAAGACATTGGCCGCGCCTCAAAATGGAAATCGGAAGGTTCATGGGTTCCCTTTAGCCTCAAAAAGGGTAACCCCGACCCCCCCCCCAAAAAAAAAAAGCGCGCCCCCTGTAAAAGAACAATAGGAAAAGTTCGGTATGGTTTGCGGCTTACCCAAGTCCAAAATAAAGAGCCAAGTCAGATATCTCTCTCCCACGGTCGGGACGTCCTGCCCTCCAGGTACCCCCGGCTTTTGATTGTAGACCTAGGTCCTCCCGCAGAGAGGTTACAACAAGGGTACCAACTTTTTTCAGTTGTCCATTTTAGTAGGGGAAGCCTCCCCCCCAAAAAAGGCAACAGGGCACTGCATGGGGACCTAGACACAGCAGCTGACAATACTCTCAGGAGTCTCATGATGACTCATGTTGGAATTCCACTAAGATCATCCAGCCGACGCAGCTCACTTCCCGGGCGGCATCGCACCCCGAGGTAGCAGAGGTTGCCGCCCCGAGAGAAGTGGATCACTCGGCCATCTGTGTGGCCTTCCGACACCTGGGAAAGGCCAAAGGCCAAGTTGTTCTTCTGCTCAGTTGCAACCAACCCATTTCACTTCTCATCGGGTGGCGATAAAGTCACCGAGCGGGTTCTTTATTCCAAATGCTCCAATCCCAGAAAGTGACTCAAGTCCGAAACGGAGCTGGGGAAGTGAGGGAACAACAAGAAGCTCTGACCGTTGCCATGACAAAGAACGGATGCCGAGAGGAATCAGATCCGGTGGATTTGCTGCTGGGCAAGTGACTCCTGCACCCCAAATTGAGCGAACCCCTGATTGATTGTGATCGGGGGTGGCTGCCTTTTTGTGCGGGTTCATCACTTTTGGAGGGGAACACTCCCTATGGGACGGGTTCAGTACTGGGTTCATTTTTGAAAGTTCTCACGTTAACATTCCCCCACATAGTACTTTGGTAGGGTACCTGGAAGGTCAGTGGTTCCCTTTGAAGGTGGTGAGGGCCTTCTCATAGCGTTTGCCCAGCCCAGCCTGGCCTTTTGTCTTTTGTAAACACCCACCATTGTCAGTTTCCTTGGGGCCTTCCGCCAATTTGGGTTGCTCTTCGGCTCAGAGGATAAGGTCTAGCCTGTTGTAATCAGGCTGAATGGAAAAACAAATGACTCCATTGCGCGACGATGCACCGGCCTGCCACAGGCTCCCGAAGTATGATTGCATGGCGCACTGCGGGCGTAATGCCTTTTAGGAAAACATGTGCTGTGCAACAAAAATCGTCCTAGAATAGCGCATCTGGACTGACAACTAGCACTAGAGCGAGTGGGCCGGCTGTTTTCTTACCAACAATGGTGTTGGCACCCATCTGTCCGAGTGACAACTCAGGCCGTACATATCGCATGCGGAGCACAAACACAACAGAGAGCACGGTCCACCAAAAGATGACATCTGAGGGCCCCATCCCCTAATACAGTGTTCAACTTGCCACAGAGGGCCATGCCATAGAAGGGGTGTCCACATCCCATCTATTTAGGGCTTCCACAATCTGGATTGAGCCGTCAAAAGGTGTGAAAGGATAGAAGCCCGAATTCTCGAAGCTTGGCCAGAACTCGTCCTGAAACTCGTTGGTGTTTGCGTGAAATGTGTAAAGCTCGTGAAACTCGTGAAGCTCAGAAGAAAGGGTGTCTTTTTTGCTAGAGTTTCACTCATGAGCATCTCCAAACCCTTGCGGAAGGCGCAGACACAACAGACGACGGACAGTCTACGAGTGGCCGAAGGGCCTACATATCGCAAGTGCGGAGCAGACAACAAACAGCACGGTCCACTAAAGCAAGAAAAACTACATGACCTCTGGGCCCCCCCCTCCCCTAACACAATTTTGAATTTCCAACGCGTTGGGCCTCGGAGGGGTGATGCGCTTGGCTTCAGCATTGCAACAGGGAGACGGGTCCGCACACAGCACATCATGCCATTGAAGCGGTGTCCACCCCCATTTGGTGGCACTTTATTTAGGGCTTCCACCGCGAAGCTAGATTTCGCAAAGGTCTGACAAAGCAGCTGGTCAATGACGCTTGCGAACAGCAAGCAGCTGTGGCAAACGCAAAATAAACACTGATTTGTTTGCGGGCTTCTCGTGCTTCCCAATGAAAGATGTCTTTGAAGTTGGCCCCAGAGGGATGAGCAAGCAAAAGAGAAAATACCACGCATGGTGAAGCTTCGCGGTGCGCTGGCAACAGTGTCCGGGCGCCTGAGAAGTGGGAAAGAAATCATCGACGACAATGTCGAGCCACCTGGCTAAACCAAAAGCGACACCTCAAAAGCGGAAACTGGCCAAGGAGTTAGAAACACCATGCAGTTTGACCATGTTTCAAGGTCTCTCGTAGCATGGTCAGTAGAACAAACAAGTGGAACCCATTGTAAAAAAAACCTGTCCGCTGGCAAGAGCATAGCTCATTGAAGGACCTTCCCTTCAACGAAGCTTTTCACAGTAGCCAAATGTGCACAGGTGTGAGGAGGCGTGAAGCGCGTGCTTTGCCCGAGAACCCGAACAGCCACGCGGCGACCGACGCAACCGCCGGATGAAGAAACGAGCGAGGCGCGATCTTATCAAGCTGGCAGGCCTTTTACGTGCAAGCGCGGCGCTCACAAGCAACCAGCGTGGCAGTCTTCAACGCAGCGATGACTTCCGGAACGCACGCGCATGCCACCGCCAACCTCCAGCCATACTGCGCTTTCTGTAGGCTTTGGTCCGGCACGGACCATTCCATATGTGGGGGTTTGGCCAGAACTACCGGGATGCAAAAACAGAGCTTTTCCCCTAAAACAATTTGCTTGCTCGGCATGTGTTCAAGCGACACAGCATATACAAATGTTCGAAAGGATGCGCGGCGAAAGGCCGCGACAGCGCTGCGCGCTTGGTGGCCTTCCTTCTTGGCTATATCTGAAAGATTAGATTAGTGGATGTTTGCCGCGTTAAGACTTTCGCTTCTGAACACCCTGTTCACCCATCTCCCCTGCCTACGAAAAAGCTTGAAGCAACAAAGCAGTTTGTCTTTGACGTTTAGGCTTGCAATTTCGACACCAGCGTTGCGGATGGAACTGGGCATGGAGCAATGACTTGCTGGACACTTTGAAGGCGCCTACCTTAACTTTACAAATGGTTTGTCAGCCTGATTTCTAGGGGAGCCGCCAGCTTCTCCGCTCTCTCGGCAAACAGCCAAACCGGTTTTCGCTTGGGCCAAGCTAGCGGGCTGCTTGTCGATAAGCCCCACAAAACACACCATATAACTTTCCTTTGGTTTGCGTAAAGGCCAAAACACATGATGCAACTGGTGCTTTGGACAACTCACGACAGGGCGCCCAGCGTTTCTCTGGTCTGGCTGGGTCCGGGTGCTTTTTCTTCGCAAAGCCAATGCCGTCGTCCAAGCCGCAAAGCGAGTACAATTCGCATCCGCTCATCTGGGAGTATTTTGGCTTCTTTCCACCCCCAGGATTATCAGCGCTTTGCAAAGGGCTTTGCGCAGCCCCGTTTCTGGCCTTTAATGGGCCTCAGCCGTAGGCAACAAAGTCTTGCAGGCAGTCCTTCATACATCCCTGTGCGCGCGGAGCAGGCTTTTCAATAAAACGTCGTCCAACCCAGGGGCCTCCAGAGGTTCCCAAGCAAGATAGGCCCATCTGCAAGTGAGGAGAATGCAGGGTCATGGCCCGGCGCTGTCCTGTCGTAGTTTGCTGTCAGAGCGCGGGGGTGCGTGCGCGCGCCAGTGGACCGAGGGACACCTTGATGAGAGCGGGATGAGTGAACTCCCGATGTTGTCTAGAAGTGGGTGCATGGAAACCTGGGGGTCAACTAGAGCAAAGCACGTGTATCCCTCGTGTTTGGAAATGGCCATGCTATAGGTGATATAGCGCACAGGAAGCCCTGAACAAACCCAAAGAAGCCCTAGACAAACGCTTGGAATTGTGCAGCTCACTGAATTCGCTTCCAACAAGTGCTTTCCTCAAGAATTTCCATTAAAAATGT